CGGAGGCTGAGGTGGGAAGATCACCAAAAGCTCCAGGCTTGCCTAGTCTACCTGGAGAGTTCCAGGCCACCCAGGACCATACAGCTAGACCTTATCTCAAAAACAGATGAACAAATGAACGTCAGAAGAAGGAAAAGAGGCATGTCTTTGGTGTGGGGGATGGGCTAAGGTTTAGAGCCGTACACATACTACAAGAATAGGGGTTTGTCTATCGAGATGGCTCAGTGGGTCTTGAGTTTGAGAGAAGTGATGCTGAGCATTGTCCTCTGCACATGTACCTGTGGGTGTACACGCCACACCCACATACATACAATAACAATTAGAAGAAGAAGAAGAAGAAGAAGAAGAAGAAGAAGAAGAAGAAGAAGAAGAAGAAGAAGAAGAAGAAGAAGAAGAAGAAGAAGAAACAACTGGGCAGTGGTAACAACTGGGCAGTGGTGGCACAGGCCTTTAATCCCAGCACTCAAGAGGCAGAGGCAGAGGCAGGCAGATCTCAGTGAGTTCGAGGCCAGCCTGGTCTCCAAAGAGAGTTTCAGAAAAGGCATAAAACTACACAGAGACACCCTGTCTCGAAAAAACAAACCAAACCAAACAACAAAAAGAAAAGAGAAATCAGGTCTCATACCTTCTTAGTCTGAACTGTCTTCCTATGGGAGAGCCTGTAGAAATAGTCTGCTCCTGCCTCCTGTGTATCCACTGGACGCCGGGTGTAGAGGCTGCTGAGTGACTAGGTGCTCCTTCGTGTGGCATATCTGGACCTCTCTGATGCTGTGTGCCCCTCCCCTCCTGCCCACTTAGGCACCCAGCATGGGCACCCTCATGGGGGTGTACCTTCCCTGCTTGCAGAATATCTTTGGGGTCATCCTCTTCCTGCGGCTGACCTGGATGGTGGGCACAGCTGGCGTACTGCAGGCCCTCCTCATCGTCCTCATCTGCTGCTGCTGTGTGAGTGTCCAGGAGTTGGGGGTTGGGGGCTGGAGCTGGGCTGGGCGTGGAGCACGTGGCTCCGTGGCTCCGCAGGGCCCAACCCGCTGAGCTGCTCACCCAGGCCTTCCTTCCTACAGACCCTGCTGACAGCCATCTCCATGAGTGCCATTGCCACCAACGGTGTGGTGCCAGGTGAGTAGATGCCACCCGTGGGCCTGTTGGGAGGAATGTGGCTTAATCCGCCTGGGTCTGCCCGCTGTCCTCCATTGTCCCTTGTTCCCTGGGAATTTTCTGGTAGGGTCCCGTCCTTGACTCTAAGACAACGCCTCCTGGGAACTTTTCCGCTCAACAGAATTTGAAACTGCTGCTGTTGTGTTTTGTTAATGTAAAAGTACTGTACCCTTCCCAAGAAAGAACGATGTATGTTTACTGTAAGAGGGCTTAACTGGGCAAGAAGCAGAATGAAAACCAAAACCACCCATAACTCCCCAGGCTGAGTTCATTGCTGCTATGGTCTTAGGAGTTTACAAAGTATTAGTCTGTGCATGTATACAACTTATAATTCCTGTATATATGCACATATATATGTTTATGTATTTCCCAAAATTCAGAAATTTTCTTTAAAGTAGGTTACTCTATGCTAGACTATAACCAGTTTGTGGAATAGTCTCCTATTATGGGTTCTTCATTTTCAACACTGTATTTTGTTTGTTTGTTTTTGTTTTTGTTTTGTTTTGTTTTGTTTTGTCTTTTGACCTGAAACTCTATGTAGACCAGGCTGGCTCTGAATTTGAAGTGATATTGCTTCTGCCTCCTAAGTGCTGGGATTACAGGCATGTGTTACTACACCAGCCTTTTTTTTCCTCCACCATTGCAGGGTCATGACAGTCTGGGACACCTTGATACTTCTTTTATTTATTTATTTATTTATTTATTTATTTATTTATTTATTTACTTACTTAGGTTTTTTTCGAGACAGGGTTTCTCTCTATAGCTTTGGAGCCTGTCCTGGATCTCACTTTGTAGACCAGGATGGACTCAAACTCACAAAGATCCTCCTGGCTCTGCCTCCCAAGTGCTGGTTTTAAAGGCCTGCGCCACCACCGCCCAGTGATGCTTCTTTTAGGGGAGTCCTAGAGGTGGGGTTGCAACCTAAAGGAAATTGATCCCTTTTTTGGTGCCTATTACTAGACTTTCACCAGAGAGGACTTAATGGCAGTGATGAATCACTCTTGTCTCTGCCCTTACCACTCTGGGGCCGTGTTGACTGCCACTTTCCTGGGGATGCTAGATTCTAATAGATGCAAAGACTCAGCGGCCTGTACTGAACCACGGGGACAAGAACTGGACAAGCTAGTACTGCCCTGGTCTGTTAAAGAGAAAAGCAGTCTTTGTTCTTTGGGGTTTCTGTAGAGTTTCACTATGCAGGAGATCTCATTGAAGAATTAGTCTTGACCTGTGTTGTGTACACTTTCTCCATTATAGCCGGTGGCTCCTACTTCATGATTTCCCGTTCACTGGGACCAGAATTTGGAGGTGCTGTGGGCCTGTGCTTCTACTTGGGGACAACATTTGCAGCAGCCATGTATATCCTAGGGGCCATTGAGATCTTGCTGGTGAGTTGTGCTAAGCCTTGGTCACCCCTAGTCATGGCAGTCTCTCTCAGTTCTAGAGGCTGTTAGTACTTGCCCATCCCTGGCCAGGGCCTGGGGTTTTCTAATGGGAGGCCTCAAGGGAGAAGGATCATTGCTTAGATCTGCCCACCCCCCTTTACACCTGTGCTAGTTTGGACCAAGCAGGGAAGAGACCTGGTTGCCTTGGCCTTGGCCTGGATATTTCTTCTACCGAACACTGGACCACGGCAGGGGTCTGCCAAGTGTTGGATTGGGCTGATCTTGATGGTGACAGAGAGCTTACCTCCTAGCCTTTTGTGGGCCCTGGCAGCTCTGTCTCCCCCAGACTCTGTGACAGGGTCCTTTAGATCTGTTTTCTCCTTGTCCTTAAGTCAGAGTGAACAGCCGTAGAATGAATGCTATCTGGAGGTCCTTGAATCTCACGGGTGCTGAGATCCCTACTCACCAATGAATGGCCCAGGCCAATGGGAGAGAGACCTTGTGGGAAGCATGGTGACATGTGAGTGACACAGGGTGACAGGTGCCCCCTTGGAGGTCCAGAGAAGAGCGGTTTAGAGACACTGCCTGGCACTGCCAGCCAGAAGCCTTTTGTCTAGATCTTCTGAGTTTTTCTTTTCTGTTTCTCACATTTCTTCTGATATTTGGAATTCTGTAAGGAGATGCGTCCCTTTTCCCAGTGTTTATTCAGCCATGTCATTATATGGGCTTCTGGGGGGTTATTTTGTTCTCTGGGTTATTGGGTGTAACCCGGCATTATCTTTAGTTGCTCAAACTGTGATTTTTGGCCCTTGCTTCCACAGGTTGGCACCTGTGTCTGTGTCTACTTTCCTTCCATTCCTTTCCTTTCCTTTCCTTTCCTTTCCTTTCCTTTCCTTTCCTTTCCTTTCCTTTCCTTTCCTTTCCTTTCCTTTCTTTCGATACTGGTTTTGATGAACGACAGCATACATAGCAAGCAGTTCACCCCCCATTTTAAGGTGTGCAACCCAGGGGCCAGCGACAGGCATGGTGTTTAGGACTCACATGATGGAAGACAGGAGCTGACTCCTGCGGACTGTACTCTGACCTCCACACCTGCACTGTGGCTCACGCACATCCTCCACCCTAGATAACTAATGTTTCCTTCTTTAACGTTACAGCTCAGGAGGCTGAGGCAGGATGTTGTAAGTTTGAAGTCAGTCTGACCTACATAGCAAAACCTGTCTCAAGAGGAAGCAGCTGGGTGTGAAGGTGTCACCTTTAATGTCAGTATTCAAGAGGTAGAGGCAGATGGATGACTGTGAGTTCAAGGTCTACACAGTGAGTCCCAGGCCAGCCAGAGCAACATAATGAGGTACTATCAAAAAAAAAAAAAAAAAGGAAAGGAAAGGAATAAGAAGGAAGTGCACACGTTCCTGGTTTCAGTATATTCATAGGGAGGTAACCACTGCCAGATCAGTTTAGAACCTTTTCGTTACTCTAAGATAAACTTCATCAGTAATCATTCTCCCTTCTCCCAGCCCCTAACAGACACTGATCTGCGTTCTCTGTTCATTTGCTCTTCTGGACATTTTATAGACATGGACTCATACACCACTGGTCTCCTGTGACTGTCTTCTTATAGACACACTTTTGAAAAGAAAACCACATGACAGGCTCCCCTCCCCAGATAGAAGACTGTAACTAGCGCTTCTGTCTTCTTGTTTCAGACCTACATTGCTCCGCCGGCTGCCATCTTCCACCCTTCGGGCACCCATGACATGTCAAGTGCCACCCTGAATAATATGCGGGTGTACGGGACCATTTTTCTGACTTTGATGACCCTGGTGGTGTTTGTTGGTGTCAAGTATGTGAACAAGTTTGCCTCGCTTTTCCTGGCCTGTGTGATCATCTCCATCCTTTCCATTTATGCTGGAGGCATCAAGTCCATTTTTGACCCTCCCGTGTTTCCGTAAGTACCTAGGGCGTTTGTCCAGCCGTCCGTTGCGTTGACGTCCTCTCTGAGCCCGTGACGCTCCGTACCCCTCAGATTGCTGGGTGGGGACAGGCTGGGGCTCCAGTGGAGCAGGCGCCGGTGCTTCCCTCCCTGCAGGGTGTGCATGCTGGGCAACAGGACCCTGTCTCGGGACCAGTTTGACATCTGTGCCAAGACAGTTACGGTGAACAATGAGACCGTGGCCACCCGGCTGTGGAGTTTCTTCTGCCACAGCCCCAACCTTACTACTGCTGACTCCTGTGACCCCTACTTCCTGCTCAACAATGTGACCGAAATCCCCGGCATACCCGGGGCGGCTGCTGGGGTGCTCCAGGGTGGGTCCCCCCTCCTGTCTCCTAGCCCCACCCTATCCCCAGCCCACGGGCTGAGCAGGAAAGCAGAGCACAGAGCTGCCCTTGTGTGCCCAGATCCCGGGAGGAGGGCGGGCTTGGCTGCTTTCCCCGCTCAGCAGTGTCCTTCTAGCCCGGCCCCTTGTAGCTGAATTTTGGGTGAATGGAGCCTGCTTGGCCAAAATCCCAGGCCTGCAGCAAACCCTGTAAAGTTCTGGCATTCCCTCTGGCCTGGCTACCAGCCCCTGATGCTGTGGGGGGTGTTCCCACCAGGGTCATAAAGGGCCTCTGTCTGGGAGTCAGGCAGTAGTGAGGGCCAGGCTGATGAAGGTCCAGTCACCTTTATTGTTGTAGTTCTAACAGGACAGCATCCTCTCTGGCCAAAGCAGCCTTATGAAAGACACTATAGTCACCGTGCTCCGGCTGTCCCCAGAATTCCCAGAGCTTCCCTGCATCTGTAGGATTTGCTGGGCTGCCCCAAACTTCCCTGGGTACATCATTGGTGCTGTAGTGGTAATGCTCCTCTTCTACAGAAAACCTATGGAGTGCTTACCTGGAGAAGGGTGAGGTCGTGGAGAAGCATGGACTGCCCTCTACAGATACCCTTGGCCTGAAGGAGAGCCTGTCCCTGTATGTGGTGGCTGACATTGCCACGTCCTTCACTGTGCTGGTTGGCATCTTTTTTCCTTCTGTAACAGGTAAGGTCTTCATGCCCACATGCTTAGCCCTACCCCAAATTCTGGAGAATCCCTGAGGGAATCTTGTCTGTTTTCTGGAGGCATCATGGCTGGCTCGAACCGCTCCGGGGACCTCCGTGATGCTCAGAAGTCTATCCCGGTGGGGACCATTCTGGCCATTGTTACCACTTCACTTGTGTGTATCCTTTCCTAGGCATGGTGGGGCAGGTGTCAGAAGGTCCTTCTTTGTATATAAGTTGCCAGGCATTGTGTGCAGACACAACACACACGCACGCACGCACGCACGCACGCACACACACACGCAAGCATGGGTACTCAACCCCCGTGCACACAACTGAGAATATGCATGTGTACCCCACGGGACCTTCTGATGTCTGCAGGTCAAGGCTATGGCTGTGAGGCTCACTAGGGTGCTGTGTGGGCAATGAATTGGGGCTACAGTTTGGTAGAAACCTGGCTTCCTTAGTACAGCCCAGACTTCAGCAGCGTGATTCTCTTTGGTGCCTGCATTGAGGGTGTAGTGCTCCGGGACAAGTGAGTAAGCTGTGCCCCTCCCCGTCAGCTTTTCCTGTCCTCACTCCAGCCCATCCCTCACCACCCATGGTCCCACACATCCCAGGCAGTTGACTTCAAGTAACCGTCTGTGTAACCAGGTAGGTCAGGCCCCTCCACGACTTCAGCTTCTTTAGCTTTCTGAGACGACAGTGATGTTAAGATCAGGGATGAGGTAAAAAGGCAAAGATACAAAGTTAAGGGCTGGCAACTGGTCTCCACTAAAAGTTAGAGCCTTTCCTCTCTGCCTTTCTTCCCGACCCCCGACACCCCTTACTCTGAGTGGCCCCACCCGGCGCTTGGAGGGCTTCTTATCAGCAGTATGGTCTGAGTCTGGCTCCTGCAGGTATGGTGATGGCGTCAGCAGGAACCTGGTGGTGGGCACCTTGGCCTGGCCTTCACCCTGGGTCATTGTCGTCGGCTCCTTCTTCTCAACATGTGGTGCTGGCCTCCAAAGCCTTACTGGGGCACCACGTTTATTGCAAGCCATTGCCAAGGATAACATCATCCCCTTCCTCCGGGTAAGCCCTCTGTGTGCCCCACAGCCTTGATGCTCTTGGCCCCTCACCCTGGCAAGGGGGCAGGCAGATTCAGATGCAGCAGGGCTTGCCTACACTGGCCCAGGCCTTGGCAGCCGCCCAGAAGCAGCTGCTAGGAGCTTCTCTGACCCCGCTGGCTGTTAGCAGTGCTGTTTAGACCCAGATCCTCGTGGCTTGTCCACGCTTCACCCAAAGCAGAGAAGTCGAGTCCGGAAAACTTGTGACTCCCATAAGGATAGGATGCGGCTGGGACCGGCGGGATGATGGAACATAGGTTATGACTTGGGGCTACAGATGTGGGTAGTGGCGGTGGCAGGAACAGCTCCTTTTCTGGTGCCTGCAGGTGTTTGGCCATGGGAAAGCAAACGGTGAGCCAACGTGGGCACTCCTCCTGACGGCACTCATCGCTGAGCTGGGCATCCTCATCGCCTCCCTTGACATGGTGGCCCCCATTCTGTCCATGTGAGCTGGGAGAAGGGCAAAGGGTAGTCTTGGGGAAAGCTCCTTAAACCTCAGTAACCTCAGCCAAGGACCCCAGCCCCTCCCAATGATCCTGTCTGGTGTCTAGGGTGCCACTGGCAGATTTGCTGGGCTAAGCGGGGAGCTGGCAGGTTTGTTCACCCTGATTTCAGACGCCAGCCTGGTACATCCACAGAAGCTATAAAGAAACCAACAGACCGTATGCCTATGATAGGAGCCTCCCTAGAGCAGGCCAGCAGAAAAAGGGCAAGCCCCTGGTGTCTTGCCTTATCAAATCCATCACTGTCCCCCATTCGCTATTCAGGGATCTCTGTGGCAGTTTGGATTCTATACTCGCCTGTGCCTGTGTTGGGCTCCCGCCCATTCTGCTCCGTGGCCGATGGTCCTTACTTGTTCAGTTATAAAGGGTCTTTGCTTCACTCCCTCAGCTTACAGACCTGATGGGGCTGCCTTCCTCCGAGCCCTGCCCCCAGCCCTGCCCCGGGCCAGGCCTGTCACACCTGAGCTCTGTTGTCTTTCTAGCGCTCCGCACACAAGTGCATACCTCGAGCTGTTCTTGCTGTAGGCATCCTGAGTGCTGTCTCTCTTGCCTAAGCTAGAGGAAATAGCTCATCCTTTGTCATGGGGCTCTTGCTGGCAGTCCCTTGTTGGGATTTACTCCCCCATAGGAATTCCTGCCCCCCCCCCCCGATATCTCTCTCTCTTTGCCCTTCCTCTTCATCACCGAGGATGGAGTTTGATGGCCCTGTCCCCTCAGTCCTTAGCCGGCCCCTCAGAAGGGCTCACACTTCCTGCCTTGCCCATGTCCTGACTCCACATGCAGCACGGCATCCCGTCTCTTACCCTCAGAACAAAATTACATGGTCTCTGTCACGTCTTCCCGACTTACTCCCCGACTTCCAAATGCTCGACAGCCCCCCTCCATCTGGTTGTCTGGGCCACCGCAGGCTTAGTCGTCCCCCCGTCATCTGTCACCCTGAGTATCCCCTGCCACCTCCCGTCATTGTCCAGTCCAGCTCCCCACTCATTATTCCTGGACTCTGTTCCTCTCTCACCTCCTCTGCTGCTGAATCCTTACCCATGCTGGACCATTGCTGGACCCAATTCCTCTGAGGACATTTTCTTGATACTGCCATCTGCATCAGGCTGTAGGAATGGGTACCTGGGAGTTAGGAGCCGTGGTGTGGCCCAGTTTCTGGACTAGGTGTAGCCTGGTATCAGGTGCCTAGAAGGTACCAAGGAAGCTTCTCAGCTCCAACTGCCTCTGGTTCTGCAGGTTCTTTCTGATGTGTTACCTGTTTGTAAACCTGGCCTGTGCTGTACAGACGCTTCTGAGGACCCCCAACTGGCGGCCCCGATTCAGATACTATCACTGGTGAGTGCCCGCTGGATCCCTGGGGCAAGTCCCTCGCTAACCGGCCGTACTGGGGAAGCCACAAGCCCCATTCTGGAGGAAGTCTGAGTTTCCCAGGTAGCCTTTGCTCTTGAAACACCAAGAGGAGGGAGATTCCCTGACGGGACACTTGGCCTGCTTCTCACATTCCAGCTTGTGACTTGGGACGTGTAAGGGACAAACCATGACCGGGATTCCTGACCCTTACCCTCTCCTCTCCCGCCCAGGGCACTGTCCTTCCTGGGCATGAGTCTCTGCCTGGCTCTTATGTTTGTCTCCTCCTGGTACTATGCCCTCGTCGCCATGCTCATCGCAGGCATGATCTACAAGTACATCGAGTACCAAGGGTGAGTGAAGGCCGCTGCAGCCTGGTAACAGCTTGTACAGCACTGCGTGTGTCCCCCTGAACAGTCGGAACGGTCTGAGTGTTGGGTTGGCGGCGGCAGGCTGGGCCAGCTTTGCTTTTTGGTCTGTGGTTGCAGGCTGAGACTCAGGGCCTCCTTCAGCCCGCGTTCACGTGGAAGTCCCCGGGTAAATGGCCAGGAGCGGAGCTCAGGATAAAGTGCTCACTTAGCATGCAGAAGAGGGAGGGGGACGGGAAACGGGAGGGAGGGAGGAAATCTTGGGGTGGAACCAGGGGCTCAGTAGCGTGTGGTGACATCCGCAGGGCTGAGAAGGAGTGGGGTGACGGGATCCGAGGCCTGTCCCTGAGTGCCGCACGCTATGCGCTGCTGAGGCTGGAGGAAGGGCCTCCTCACACCAAGAACTGGCGGTGAGTTCATGCCCAGACTGGCAGGGCCACGTCAGGGTTCTTAGGGAACACTCAGGGCGGGAGGTTCTGTAGTTCTCCCCAGGGATTGTGAGAGGCAACTTCTTGCTTGTTGCGTCCCTGCATCTGCGCTACCCAAGCTTGTGGGAGCCCAGATTCTGAGAATGAACAAAGACGACTCTTGGGAAAGCCCAGGCCCTTGCCTCAGGCTGCCGGTCTGACCACTGCAGGCCTCAGCTCCTGGTGCTGCTGAAGCTAGACGAAGACCTGCATGTGAAGTACCCCCGGCTCCTCACCTTTGCCTCCCAGCTTAAGGCGGGGAAGGGCCTGACAATCGTT